GGGTAGATTATCGTATTCATGGTAATAATAATGTATGAGTAGGTTAAGGCATCGTATTCAAGAAGTTATCGTACTTGAAGGTTTGTAAGTATCGTTGCGGTGGGAGTTGCGTCATTAGCCATACTCGATTGATAGAGAAATTAAGATATTCTCTCTTAGTTTATCATAATTATCATACACAAGGGTTAAATTATCATACTCGTAGGCCTTAGATATCGTACGTCGAGGCTAATTTGTTATGCGCATGGATTAAATTATCATACTCGAAAAGTTACAATATCGTTTTTCAATAGTTATCGTACTCTGAAGCGTAAACTATCGTACATCGGAATTAGCTTATCATACATTAGGGATCCAGTCAGCGTATGTAAGTTGTTTCATTACTGTTTTTTAAAAAGCTATTATACCTATAAGGCCTAATATACAGGGTATCCATAAATGATTACCCTAAAAAACAGTATGCTCTCATGTTTTAATCAGGGTAATTCATTTATGGACACCCTGTATTATACTCCCAGGATCACATTGCTCTTACTTGATGTACTTACCCATTTCTTCCCCCATTAGTTTTTTATTTGAAATACTGTACAAAAAAAACAAGTCATATTTTCTGTTATTCTATAATATAAAAGTAAATTTTTATATTTCCTTTCCTCTTTAGGTTATTATTCTTTAACAAATTTTGTACGTTATTTTTGTTTGCTATGAACTTATTTAAGGAACTATCTTGATACTGATAATATTAATTTTAAAACAGATGACTAACGATTGATTTGATTTCTTATTTAGGCATTAATTATTTGTTTACTTTACAAGGTTTTTCGTGTTTTAAAAAGTTATTAGATTTTACTAATTTTCGAATTAAAAATAAATTACAACTAATTTATACGTTTCACTAAAAACAAGTTACTGCTATGTTGAATTTAAAAAAAAAGTTATGAAAGATTTTGTAATTATTTTTACTCTAAAATTATCATTAATTATTTCCCGCCACGAAGGAGAAAAATAGTGTATGTCCGGGTAATAATCATTTATCGTTGTATTTTGTGAAGTATTTCGGTAAGATTATGAGTTATGGCGTCCAGTAAAAACAAAATTATGGTTATCGGAACATTTAATGGCGCACTTAATGGCGTCTGGTGTAGCGGAGAAGATGGCGGACGTTGTAAAGATGTCAACACAGATCTTTGATGTCGTTATTGACTTACGGAAAACAGACAAGTCTTAGCCCCTCTAATAAACCCTTGACCCCTAACCCGAATCCCAAGCCCGAACCCCTCATACCCGAATCTCAAACCCGAACCCCGCATACCCGAATCCCTAACCCGAACCCCTCATACCCGAATCTCAAACCCGAACCCCTCATACCCGAATCCCAAACCCGAACCCCGCATACCCGAATCCCAAACCCGAACCCCTCATACCCGAATCCCAAACCCGAACCCCTCATACCCGAATCCCAAACCCGAACCCCTCATACTCGAATCCCTAATACCAGACGGGATTAACTTGAATTCTTGGAATAATTAAAAGCCAATATTGTATCTCCAAACTCCAAGTTAATCATATTATATTGTTTTGTATCTGGATAATCATAATCATAATTAATATAGGTATAAAGTATAATGATAATCAGAGTTCATGAGTTCAAAATTTGGCTCTTGGGTTCGGGTTTAGGGATCGTAGTTGTGGGGTTCATTAGTGGCTCTTACAACTTACCAGGAAAAACTGACAAACGCAAAATAGATATTAGAGTCTGGTTTAGTTTCCGTAAAGTTAGAGTAGTAGCTCAGGTTCCTTGTAAGTTAGTCTGAGTCAATAATTTCTTAGTTTCACTTTGGGTTTGTGGCTAAGTTTCACTTAATTTATTGCGTTAGTCATTTGTTTCGTAGTTTTTGTCAGGGTGGCTTAGTGTCACTTTCTTTATCACGTTAGTCTTTTGTTTTCATAGCTGCCGTGAATGTTGCTCAATTTCACTTCGTCTATCGCGTTAGTCATTTGTTTTAGCTTCTGTCAGGGTTACTCATTTTCACATGTTTATCGCGTTAGTCTTTTGTTTCATAGCTGTCGTGAATGTTGCTCAATTTTACTTCATTTATCGCGTTAGTCATTTGTTTCATAGCTGTTGTATCTGGGTGGCTGAATTTTTTTTCTCTGTATACATAAAGAATAAAATAGAAAACAATAATAATCATAAATACCCAAATGGAAGATTATTTATATATATGAAACACGTATATAGACACAGACAATAAATATAAAGAGAATATAGACACTTCTCCCTCCTACATCTCTCAGTTTCTCCCCAATAGAGAAACTTCAAGTACTTATCTCACCATCTCACGTCATAACCAGATACGATGTTTTTTTTGTTTTTTTTCCACTCTCGAGAAGAAAAGTTTGACAAATTTCCATACTGCTTGCCAGGCCTGTTGTTGTCACCGCCCTTGTTGTACTGTATAGTGGTTATTTAAGGTGATTATTTTAGCAGTGTGTGTGTGTGTGTGTTTTGTAAGTTGGGGATTTTTCTTTGCAGGAGAGAGTGAAAGTAGAGAAAACAAATAGACAGACGGAAAACAGAGAGAGAGAGAGAGAGAGAGAGAGAGAGAGAGAGAGAGAGAGAGAGAGAGAGAGAGGCACGTGCATGAAGGGGATCCAGACACCTGTACTTACTTACACCTCTCCAACACCTGTACCTCACCTACAACTACCCCACACCTGTACCTCACCTACAACTACTCCCTACACTCAGCCTCACCTACAACTACCTCTACACCTGTGGCCTCACCTACAACTACCCTACACTCCACTCACCAACAACTACCCTACACCTGTACCTCACCTACAACTACCCCACACCTGTACCTCACCTACAACTACCCTACACCTGTACCTCACCTACAACTACCCTACACCTGTACCTCACCTTCAACTATCCTACACCTGTACCTCACCTTCAACTATCCTACACCTGTACCTCACCTTCAACTATCCTACACCTGTACGTTACCTACAACTACCCTACACCTGTACCTCACCTTCAACTATCCTACACCTGTACCTCACCTTCAACTATCCTACACCTGTACGTTACCTACATCTACAGTGGAAATACTATCAGGATAGCTGCCATCATGTTATTGTATTCTCTCAGTGAGTGCGGTACGGTCACACGGGATCAGTCTGGGGAGAACCCTAGCGAGTACAGGATCTCGGGGGGGGGGAGGCAGGTGCATGTGAAGAGACTGATGGAGGAGGAGAAGGAAGGGGAAGAAGAGGAGGAAGGAGAAAGAAGAAAAAGAGAGAGAAGGTGAATAGGAGGGAGAAGATGAGTAGGAGGAAGAGGAGGATGGTCATTCCAGGTTTTATATACCAGGTCCCTCTTTCCGCCCTCCCCTACCTCTACCTAATCACCCCCGGCACTCAGGTCATAGTATAGATACCAGCATAGATAAACTCACTACTTGTAGCTGTTAATTACGATCGATTGTTTAAACTAACTCTTACCCACACGCCTGGAGTGTTTGTGATTAATTAATGTTTAAGGGAGTGTTTGTGGGGGGAGCGGGGGGTGTTATACTGTACGTGGTATCTGATCTTAGATTACACTGTGCAGTATATGTATTTGTACTTGGTTATGTAGGTGTGGTATTGATAAAAGCACTTAGTTCAGTGTTTCTTAATATACAAATACTAAAACAGGTGATGTGTGTGATTACTAGCTACCCCTACACACATACACACACACGCACGTTTCACTTCTCCGGGAAAGGTTCGAACCACACACACTACGAACCCCATTGTGGATCCCAACAGATCATACTAGTGGGTGGATGGGTGAGTCCCCGAGCGGCCATGTTGAATATTAATGTTGGTGGTAATACCCGACCACACAGTGATCAATAACTGGCGGCAAGAGGCGGACTACCCACTTAATCCGCTTATTTGAGTAAATAGTTCGTTTTTTGTGCGATGTGTGTTATAATTTTACAAGCGATAAGGTCATTGCACACACACACACACACTGTATATATGCGTATCCGAACACAGGTGTGAGTGGATCAGTGTTGTATTCTAGTTGGGTGGTGGGGAATATGGTGGTAGTGGTGGTAATAATGATATTGATGGTGATAATGGTGGTGTTGAGGATGGCTGGTTGGTGTCTAGGTAATTCAATGTTGACGCTCTTGAGGCCTCACTCTTGTCAACTTAACTCACAAAACTTTATTATATTTACACCTGACTCGCTATAAATATATCTAGTTGTATTCTGAACCTGTATATGCCTCGCCCTTGTCTGTCGGTGAGTTGGTTTTCATTGCCTGTCAGTCAAACATTTTGTACTGTGCTTTATATTATTCTTTTCGTGCGTTTGTTGGTATAACTTTTAGGTAACGATGTGAATTTTCCAATAAGTAGTGTCGTTCTTCATTCCACTATTATTTCCAATATGTCGTTTCCCTGGTGTAAAGCCGCGTGTCCCGTGCACAATGTCTCCCTCACAGCACCCACAGGACCCAGGAATTTGACACAGCTGGAGAAGTAAGGGGCCTTCATAGCTCTTTAGGGTCTTGGTCGGCTGGTAAAACCGCTCGTCACACCATAATCGCACCCATGATTCTCAGTTTCCAATTGCTGAATGAGGTCGTTTAAAAACTGCCACTGTCCAATGGGTGCAAACATTTGGGTGGGAAATTGGTGGTCTGGAAGCGTTTGCGTTCGTCTGTTTATTGGCACAAACGTATGCTATTCAAATTCAGTCAGGTGTTACGGCCATATGGTCACTAATCTGATTAGAAAATTACTATTTATTAGCTATTTTATTCCAAACTATAATAATTCGCATGATATATATTTTTTCGTGTCTCAGAATGAGCTATAAGCCCAAATAGTATAAATATATTTTGGTTGCTAAGGAGCGGCATCAGCAGCTGGGCGTGTGTCCATGGCGGGGCGGGTCGTCGAATGCGCCGGGCCTAGCAGATCAATGTTGCGCGGAGTGACTGTCATGTCGGCGCGCTCAGGGAGGAGTGTAGTCTCGCTTCCTCACCTCAGACACTCACCACAGCTGATACGGAAAACTAGCGCACCGTAACCGTTGCTAGCTCTGCTGCTAAATATCGTGGTGATAGTGTAAAGTGGGTGCGATTTAGGAGCATTTCTGTCGTTTGGAAAGGACTGAGGTGCTTCATATTTGGTGAACTTTTGAAAACCACGCCCTAAGCAGACTTGTAACTTGCAGTCTCCCTGGCTAAGGCGCGGACCAACCAGGAGCCAGCCCGCGCGCGCCAACCACTTCCCGCCCATACTGTGACTACTGAATACAGCTCCAGCTGCATATCTCTGCATTTTACCCCTCTTTCCCACTGAAACACCATGTCTGAAGAAGGTAAGCTGCTCAGTATTGTGTTCTGCTGTAAGCCTGAGTAGATAGTTTGCACTCTTTGAGTCAGGAAAGGCGAAAATTTTGAGAAACAGTCTGTTGCCAACTTCCTGGCAGCCTCGTGGCCCTGCCGACTTCAGGGCGTGGCAGCACAACAGGTTGGCGCGCAAACAAAGAAACGTCGAAAAATGTCTATATAACTTTTCTGTATTTGTACATTACGTAAAACTATTTAATTAATGGTGTTGAAGTGATGAGTAAAATTTTAAGTTTCTACAACAAGAACTTGGGATGGTATTTGTAGAAATACTGTTGCCGGGTCGCAGGTTCCACACCGGCTTGGCTAGGAAGCGGTTAGGTCCACAGTATTAAGGAAGAAGTGGCAGCTCTTGCAAAAACTTCCTGTTATTGTAGTTAGAAGAGGGAAACTGTTGAGTTTTTTGCTTTGGTAACAAGGTAGTTTTGCCTTTGGTCATTTAGTGATCACTTATTAGTGAAATGGGTTCAGAAAGTAACTCCTAGTTTTATCTCTCGCTCAATCAAGATAAAGAAAGTACTCGACTGGTTATAAAGTTTACAATGAAAATGTCTTGTTTTAGGGGGATACATAGACTAGTTTTAATAAGTGTGTGTACTGTATGTGTCATGTATTACCTTTTTCCATATTCTCATGTTTATTAATATCATTATTAATCGATCTAGGGAGCATTACACCACTCAGTGCCAGAGCGCCGTCACCAGGAGTGTTGTGAATCACTTCAACATGACCGTGACGCACTCGAATAACTTGGTAATTCCTAGAACACAGCCCGTATGGTTCACCCCAGAGGCCAAGAGCTCTTTAACTCTTAACTTTATTTTCTCTTTAAACAATGAAGTGTTGAGTCAAAATCGATAATCTAGAATGACGATGATACTTCTTGAACTAAAGTTACTTGGGTGTTACTGAATTGATTTTTTACCCCATTTTAACGCCTTTGTGGAGTAAGATGTTTTTGTACCTGTGAGCAGCTGGGCTAAAGATAATGTGTTCAGGTGCACCAAAAGACGAAATCGTACCTGAAACTATATTATTTTTAACCAGGGGCATCGGGGTTAAAAATAAAACATGTTTGTTAATAAAGGAAGCTAAGATAAAAAAAATAAGAAACATCACAAAAAATATAGTAAAATGTTTATTATGTTGAATTAAAGGAAACATTCAGTGCTGATATTGGGTTATTTACACGAGCTGATTACACTGAAGTTGAGTTAATGAGAAAGGCGTTAATAATGACATAAATGCGATAGAGAAAACATGTCCTAAGTTACAGTGCTAATTAGTGAAAATGTTTTTAACTTATATCAGCGATGTTTTTTACTACTATATGAATAGGTTATAGTAGTGTGGTTTATGGGGGTGTTAATATTATAGTGTTAGGTCTTGTTATCTTTGTCCTCCAGAAACGACCTCATAAGTTATTTAGGGAATTTAAGTAGTCAGGTATGTGCGTAGGTTATGCGTTAGCTAGAGGCAATAGTATCATTTGCGTAAGTTAGAAAGCCTAGTTAATGACGTGCGTAAGTTATGGTAAGTTAAGACTTGGATATTACTTTTATTAATATCAGGAAGAAAACGTTAATCAGAAATTTGAAAGGTTCAAATTAGATTTAAAGAATATTACTAAATTCACAAATCAAAGGAAACCAAAGGAGAATAGACAATACAATAATATAAATGGAACATTCACCCGTCTTTGTGTGGCTGGTTCGATAAATCCTAAACAAATGACGATCGTAAAGTTATTGTGAATCTATTGAGTTCAGTTTTTTGTTCCCCGGGCGTGTAAAAAAAAGGGGGGGGGGGTTGTCTTGAATGAATTGAATTTATAGTTTAATTTTAGGTGAAAGGGAAAAAAGTTGCCGCGAGTTGAAAGGATTTAAGGAAAGTAAAGCTTAATTTGAGATTGAGGCTTAATGAAAGAGAATCTCTCCCCTGGGTCTGATAAATGAAAGTACGTGAGATTTTCGTAATAAGACTTGAAGGTAATGATACTTTCTGCGGTGTTAAATTTGAGGTTATATTTAATCGATATATATTTTTTTTTGCCCATGATACTCTGAGACTTTAACCGAACATTGATTCAGAAATAACCGTGAGTCATTTTATATATATATATATATATGAAGTTATGATAGTTTGGTTATATTCTTAATTCTATTTTGATATTTTTATGCTTCAATTTAATATGTATTGAAATTAAAAAATCCTCATTGCATAGGGTATTTCCAACGAATTCAGGCCGTTTGTTTTATGTACCTGTAAATGCTCAGGTTAGCTCCGCCATTTTATTTTATATTTTTTTTTGGTAAGGATATTCACTGATGTGTTTTTGTTCATCCATATAATAAAAAAAATGGTGGGGGAGTAAGGAAATACGAATTTGAACACCATTAACTTAACTAACCTAACCTTGCCAAAACTACCCGAGGTCTGTTACATTATTATAAGTTATGTTCATTTGATTCCTGCAGTCTGCTTGTTTCATCAATGATATCCAATTTCCTCTCTATTTCCTCGCCTCTCCTCTCAGATTCGCAATATTCTCCGCATTAAGACAAACATAATAGTGAAGATCCTGTCAAAATATATCAAGATCTAAAATGGCGGAGCTAAACAGGATTTTTATCTAAGAAGACATCAAACGTTAGGCTGTTGTTGCTGGAGTCACATGTAACTCAACAGAGAAATTTGATCAACCTAACCTAACCAAACTAAACATAACCTAGCCTAACCAAACTAAACATAACCTAACCAAACATAACCTAACATTACCTAACATTACCCAACATAGCCTAACCTAACCAAACATAACCTAACCCAGGGATAGTACAAGATATTTTATAGTTAAGTTTGGTTACATAGTTTTAGGTTAGGTTATGTCTGGTCAGGTAAAGTTAGGTTAGGTTTACTTGTGTCCGTCTTCATGAATGAGTTTTTTTTTATTCCATCAATCTCCATCACGTTTCACCTTCATTTTTACTCTAAACTTTTTCACACTCCTTCACTCTTCATTATTCTCATTCACTCCATTTTACCATCACTCTCTACCCTCTTGCGTCATTCTTTGCGTCACTGCGTCACTCCTTATCATTTTCTTCACTTTTCATTACCCCCCTTTCCATTTTCAATCATTCCCTATCCTCTTGCGTCACACATTGCGTCATTACTTGCGTCGTTGTGCCATTATTTGCGTCACTGCGTCATTCCTTGCGTCGTTGCGTGACGGTTTGAGTAATCATGAGGCAGCCAACCAACCAACACCTGAAAAACCTCGCTGATATACCCCTTCCGGTCTGCCTGCAGTTGCCAGTGTTTGTTTTGTTTCGTCTTTTTTTTTGTCTGTCTCCCAGCTGTTTTCAGAGCTTCTAGTTGTGTCTGTGGACAGTTGACAGACACCCCGCTGGACACAATTATCACTACATATATATTAAACTGGACAAAATGCATCCAGCTTAGTGTTCAGACTAGATAGAATTCATCCAGTCAAATAATGAACCAGACAGAATTCCCAAGAAAGTGTTAGTGGACAAAATTCAGCCACTAAATACTGAAATCGGACAAAATTCAATCGCCAAATAATATACTGGACAAAACTTGACCTTGCCAAATCCCTCTGGACAAAATGCTACCACTAGAGTAATGGGGATGTGGTTAACCTCTCGAGAGAAAAAGGTGTGAGTGAGTGCGTGATTGAGATGAGGGTACCCCACTATATAGGAGGAGGGGGGGTCAGAGTGGTGGTATAAAGGGGAAAGCCAGGTAGGAGTGAGGGGTAGTGAGGAAGGAGGTGAGACAGGGGTAGTGAGGGAAGGAGGTGAACAGTGAGAAGGAGGATGAGAAGAGAGTAGTGAGGAAGGAGGAGACAGTGGGGGTAGTGAGGAAGGAGGTGGACAGTGGGGGTAGTGAGGAAGGTGAGACAGGGGGTAGTGAGGAAGGAGGTGAGACAGTGGGTGGTAGTGGGGAGGAGGTGAGACAGTGAGGGGTAGTGAGGAAGGAGGGTGAGACAGTGGGGGGTAGTGAGGAGGAGGGTGAGACAGTGAGGGGAGTAGGAGGGAGGAGGGTGAGACAGTGGTGGAGGGGAAGGAGGTGAGACAGTGGGGTAGTGGGGAAGGAGGGTGAGACAGTGGGGGTAGTGAGGGAAGGAGGGTGAGACAGAGGGGTAGTGAGGGAAGGAGGGTGAGACAGTGAGGGAAGGAGGATGAGACAGAGAGGGGTAGTGAGGGAAGGAGGATGAGACAGTGGGGAGTAGTGAGGGAAGGAGGTGAGACAGTGGGGTAGTGAGGAAGAGAGGGTGAGACAGAGAGGGTAGTGAGGGAAGGAGGGTGAGACAGTGGGTGGTAGTGAGAGGAGGTGAGACGAGGGGTAGTGAGGGAAGGAGGGTGAGACAGTGAGGGTAGTGAGGGAAGGAGGGTGAGACAGTGGGGGTAGTGAGGGAAGGAGGAGGTGAGACAGTGGGGAGTAGTGAGGCTGGTGAGACAAGGTGGGGGTCGTAAGGAGGGAAGGGGGGAGTTGAGGTGGTACATAAGCATGACTCATCGCTAACAGGGCTGCTGCCCTCCCCACACACACACGCACTGTCGCCATCTCTACGCTGTCTACTGCGGAGAGGGTGGTGGGGAGGGCAGGTGAGGGGAAGAGCAGGAAGTGAGAGGGTAGGGCAGGAGGTGAGGGTGGGAAAGGGCGGGCAGGGGGGAGGGAGGTACATAACTGACCTTTTGAATTAGGGAATAAATTGTTGGATTTTTAAAGGGCAGGGAATATTTCTTACTCTTGTGGCAGGGGAAAAATATGTCATTGGTTTAAGAGGTAAATTAGAGATAGGGAAAAAAACATGCTTGTATTACTGAGAGAGAGAGAGAGAGAGAGAGAGCTATCTCACTAAAATATCCTCATAAATATCTTAAATTCACTGGAGTATCATATGAATTTTTTAGGTTGAATTTATTTTCGTGTGTTTTATTTA